AGGAAAGGTAAAGAAGTCAGTAAAAATTTGTTGGAATATTAGTTTTGACCTCCATGTTATTAATGAAGAAAACGTTTTTCTTTTGTATATATCTCACAAATATACTTAAATTATTGTGAAAATTGCTGATTAGGAACAACCAACTACTTACTTATCTCAAATTGGTTGGTTCTTTATATTATCATATTTTGGTATAGTGTAGTAAAGAAATATTTTTACCTCTTAGGGAGGGAAAATTCCTACCAAATAATAAAACTTTTTAAATAATAGATGAACCGTTTGCTTTTTGAGACATTATTTATAGAGAAGGAAGAGATCATCTCGCAAGGTGTAATAAAATTCACAAGTATGATTTCCCGAGAACATGTAGCATATGGCGCGTTTTTCCTGTCAAAATTCAATTTGTGAGACGTTTTTACATACGACCTTCGTTTTTCAACTTCAGCATTCCTTTTATTCAACCTTAACATTCGTTTTTCAATTTCAGTATTCCTTTTATTTAACCTTGAGATTCGTTTTTCAACTTCAACATTCGTTTTATTTAACCTTGATAGTCGTTTTCTGAGTTCGACATTCGTTTAATTCAAGCGTGACATTTGTCATTCGTTTTCCTTATTTTCAACCTTGACGTTCGTTTTATGTAACCACGACAGTCGTTTTTAAAGATCGACATTCGTTTTATTCAAGCGTAACGTTCGTGTATTGACGTCGACTTTGTCTTTGCTTTAATCTCAACATTCGTTTTTTTAAATAGCCGTTCGTTTTACTCAAGCGTGACATTTGTTTCCAGTTTGTCATTCGTGTATGAATCAGGCGTGACGTACAAGAACGACTGGATCGAGCGCGAACTGTGGGAAAACTGTGACTGGCAAGGATGTCTGATCCATCTGCGAAAGAAATTTTCCTTTCTAGGGTTAGATCACTTTTGGAAGTGCTGTTCTGCCATAGCAGCGGCGATGAAGAGAGCTTAGAGCACGATTTTGACAATTTATACACTCGTGCCAACCTGTTATATCACCATGGTGTGCGTCTCTTCATACTGTTGTAGAGCATTTTCAAGGACTGCTATTTTGAGTATTTTTAGGTTGACCTTTTGTTTTGATGAGTCTCGCCTTTTTGCGTCTACGTTGTTATTTTGGTAGATCGATAGTTTTGATCATTTATTTTTAGTGTGTGCTTGAACTTGGCTCAGTTCTTACCGTGCTAGACATTTTAATCGCTTATTATGGTTGAGGATAACTAGTTCGCTAGGTGGTCATGTTTGGGTTGGTTATGGAAATTCCCACGGTCAGCTAACCGAAACATGTCTGTGATTTTTGCATTAAATGAGAGGGCACTCCTCGCTGAAGTTAGAAGAGAAATAGCTCTGTTAGTAGAAGGTAGTAGCAACAACAGAAGAGAAGAGAATAAAAGAAGAAAAGTATAGAGTCTTGGTACCTTTCGTCAATTCGTCCAAGCGAGTGATGAACACTCCACAACAATATGATAGAGGAATCTACCATAACAACGCTAAGAAATATCGTCGATTTGCTAAAAGAAAAGCGAGACTCCCTGCAAAGCACTCATTTCCATGCACAAGCTGAGCAAAGAGCCTCGCCTGGTAGGCCAAAGCTTATCATTACCGAAAGCCAGTTATCATACTTGAGTGATTATGGGTTTAAAGCAGTGGACATGGCGCGCATGTTTGATGTGTCAGTGGCAACTATTCACAGACGAATGAAGGATTTTAACATGTCAATTTCTCTTTCTTTTTCTGACTATGACAACAACGTACTGGACGATATTATCCTCGATATTAAACAGCATCATCCCAACTGTGGTTACCGTATGGTCTTGGGTCACCTTAGATCAAGGGGATTATTCATTCAGCAGACACGAGTGAGAGAAAGCATGAGAACAGTTGACCCCGAGGAAACGAACGTTATGCTTGAATAAAACGAATGTCGATCTTCAAAAACGACTATCATGGCGCAAAAACGAATGTCATGGTTGAAAATAAGGAAAACGAATGACAAATGTCACGCTTGAATTAAACGAATGTCGAACTCAGAAAAACGACCATCAAGGTTAAATAAAACGATTGTTGAAGTTGAAAAACGAATGTCAAGGTTGAATAAAAGGAATACTGAAATTGAAAAACGAATGTTAAGGTTGAATAAAAGGAATGCTGAAATTGAAAAACCAGGGTCGTATGTAAAAACGACTAACAAACTGAATTTTGATTGGAAAAACGCGCCATAGTAGCAACGGTAGCAACTCAGATATTATACGACTTTGCTAATACTGGTAGCCTGCGAAGCAAGCCCTGGGGGAGAGGAGGGGACATTGGGGCGAGCGGAATGTGCGGAGGAGAGAGGGAGGGCTTGCCACAGACCCCCCTCTCTCTCCTCTCCGCATATTCCTCTCGCTCCGCTCGCCCCAATCACCCCTCCTTTCCCCCAGGGCTTGCTTCGCAGGCTAAATACTGGGTCTGAATGAACGTCGGGATTTACCGATTCAGAATTCCGAGTCAGTAGAGAGATTTAGCAAGAGGACGGGAACGTCATTTCAGAACGGGAGAGCGCGCGGAATAGTCTGGACACGACACCCTTCGACCTCCGGTTAACGTTGCCGTTCTCCAAACAAGTTCAGGACGTCACTTCGCTGGTTTTCCCGTCGCGATCAGAACGTCTGAGATTTCCGTGAATTGTGCACTTGTAAATCGATCCAAACAAGATAATATTGTTTGGAAGTATTTCAATACTCATGTTCAGGATAACTGGTTCCCTTTCTTTGTTTTAATTGGTGTATTTGTGAAAACTTGTCGCTTCAATATGCTGGACTCCTGAAAGGAAATTGGAGCACAATCGTTGGCAAGCGATTCAAGATTTCAGGACTCGGTTTGCTTTCGAATGAGCAAGGCTTTAGCCAATAAAAGGGCTTTTCATTAATAGATTTCTTTAAGCCTGTGTGAAAACTCTAAGAATGGGATGCTGTTGAATTTTATGGTAAATCGATTCATCAATAACCATGCTGCATGTTGAAGTTTTGGGCAGTCAATCAAATGAACAATCACGAAGCTTACATAACGTAAAATTTTTTTATTTGTTTGTTATCGTTGTCGTTTTTACCGATCATGAATGAATGCTTTGTGGATTGAAGTCAGAGATAAACAACTCGAGAATTTTCTTGGGTTTGCACTTTTTTATGTCTTAAACTTTTTTAATCAGCGCCGATGAAAACAAGAAAGTCGTGCTCACGCAACAATAGAAAATGACAATCAATTCTATTTCGACACGACTTTCTAAATCAAGTAATTTAATTCAGTCTTGAACAACTTCGTCGAAAAAGGAAGAAACAAAACAAAACAAACAAAAAACCGAAACCAAGTCTTATCCTAAGCCTAACCGTTTCATGGGTGACTTGCATTAATTTTTTCAGCGCTAAACAAGAACTCATCATAAACAACTTTG